TGGTTCCAGAAGGGACAAAGAGGTTGGGGAAGATGAGAAATGAGAGCTGCATGAGAATCTACCTGTGATCCRCAGGAGATGAGCACCTTGCACCTGGCTGGGTTGGTTCTGCAGTGTGTGGTGAGCTGTTGGTTTTATGGGTGACTTACCGCGACAGAGAAACTTCACGGGGAAATTGGTGTTTTATAATTGTGAGGTGGAGCGTGTAAAGCTTTAAGGAGTCTGGTGCATTTCCAGCTGTTTTTGTTTTGTTTTTTTTTAACAGCATTTTTAAGAAAACTGTATGGCAGATAGGCTTTAATGATARAAKTTGGRGTTGGATAAAATTCAGTCTTTTATSTTAAAARGGAGTAGAAATGATCATTAAGGTCCTTTCCAGCCTAAACCATCTGTGATTCAATAACTACTTGTGCATTGTTTCATTCTTCAGGTGTTCTCTTAATGATCTTGAATTTTATTGTCTTATTTTTATCTTTCCTTGTCTAAACTTCATTTTTCAAGGCTTGCAATGTAGTGATGCTTTAAATGGAGGGAGTCTTTCCTGGCTCCTCCAGGACACTCTGAGATGAATCCCAACCTCAGCCCAGGTCTCCTGTAGGACCTTCTGTGTCATCAGAAAATGTGTTCTGTTCTCAGTGTGCAAAGCACAGCTGATGCTGTTATCTTACAGCTTGGGTTTGTGACCACCTGGCACTTGGCTGTGATGAGAGCTTTGAAAATCTGCACAGAAATAAGACACAAAGGGTAGAGCTTAAAACTGAGAGCTGTGTCAAGGTACTGTGGCCTTCATTGTGGCACTTGGAGTCTCCAGAAGGATGAATATTCCAGGKRAAGCTGCTGAACAGCCTGGTCYGRTGGGAGWTGGAATGAGATRTTTTTAAGGTCCCYTCCAGTCAAACCATCCTGTGATTCCATGAACATAACCTCAATTTCTGTTCCTTCCTCTGCCAGTTTTCCCACTTGTKCTGGCATTCTTGTGTCTGGTACAAGGCACAAAAACTAAATACACCTGGTGCAAACCAGAGGGTGGAAATCACTAACARCCCATGCCATCAAACCACTGACAGAGGTGTTTTGAGGAGGAAAACCAGGACTTTTGCTGCTCCCTGAAGTGATGGKGGGTACAAATTTCACATTTTTGTGGATGTTGGCTGCTCTCTGCAAGCAGTGGCTGCTKCTTCCTCCCATTGTGTCTGGGGTCGAGCTGTCTGAGCTGCATGCTCAGGCTAAGAATAGTGCAGACCCCAGGGTTTTGGCTCTGTATCCTGCATGTTGGCTTCTTTCCTGCCCRGGGCTTGGAAAAAGCCTGGGAAAGGGTGTGTTCTGCAAAATAGGTTGAAATGTGTTGTTGGAGGCTGTACTGCTGAAAATAACATGGAGGGTGAGCAGGGGAAGAGCTTCTGTTTCCTCCCTGGTACAGTAGCTCAGAGTCCTCTGTGGCACAAGCAGAAATAAGGTCCTGACCCTCTTGCTAKTGGGATATGGCCCCAGAGATGGGATTTATGGCAGTCAATTTAATCCCTTCTTAAGAACAGGTAACAGTATCACCAGTTTKGGGCATTTCAGCCTTTATTTTTGGTGGACCTTTCACAATTTAARTGTATTAATGCATCTAATAGTGCCTCTCATATCAGGCTCATTTTCAGTMTCCATCCCCTGGGCCTGTGGCTGAGCTCAGTGGGGTTGGACAGGCTTGCATCCCTGTAAATCAAATCCCAAAAGCTTTGTCTGTTGAGTCAGCACCTCCATCCCAAACCTCAACTTGAGAATCCTGTGGTTGATTGCAGTAAGATTTGTCAAGGAGGTGGTCTGGCTCTCAGCCGAGTATTTCTAACCATCTCCTAGGGAAATAAATTTCCCTCTGTAACTTGGGAGAAACCTGACTTGGTAGCCAGTTTTGCTAATCAGAAGAGTGAGAAMAGCTTCACTGAGCTTTTATCTTCTGGCTTTCTGATTATTTCCAGATCTATATTGAAAGACTCCTCCCAATCTTTTTTCTTTTAACATTTCACAGGTTCTTATTCAGATGTCAACGTCCACCCAGCCTGGTGGTTCTGGGGGAATTTCAGGCTTGTATGATCTTTATTGTCCTTKACTGAAGAGGAAGGGCTGGGAAGCATTTTGTTTCCTGCCCTACCCTTTCTCAGCCCTGGGCAGGGAATTTCTCAAAYTGTCACTCATCTTCCTTCCCTTTTGGTTCAACTTCACAGCTTTTTTCTGCRGCAGCTGGAGCTGAGAAGGGGTGGAGTGGTCACTTGTGGGGGCTGACCCTGATGACCAGGCTTTGCTCATCCTTAATGGACAGACCTGGATCCCCTTATCCTGATTTTTCTAGGAATCATAGAATGATTATGCTTAAAGATCRTTTCATTCCATCCTCCTGCCATGGGCAGGGACACCTTCCACTATCCCAGAGTGCTCCAAGCCCTGTCCAGCCTGGCCTTGGACACTTCCAGGGGCAGCCACAGCTTCTCTGAGTAAGAAGAAGCTGTGAGCTCTGTGCCAGAGTCTCCCCACCCTCACAGGGAAGGATTTCTTTCCAAGATGTGCAGTAACATTCCTTCCTTGCACAAGCCAGCTTGYTTTGCACATGGACAAAGCTGAGAAGGGAAGCAGAGTTAAAATAATYGATGCTGTGGTTGGAAAACTGGTGRGAAGTCAAAWTCCTGAATTATTCTGTTCTAGTATRGACCAGGTRCAYGCCAGTCTCATTTTWAATCTAATTGRATGGGGGTTCTCTGCCATCTTGTGCAACTCCATGTGCAGTAAACTAAATTTTTAATTGGTGTCAGGCATTTTTAAAAAGTTTAATTTAGTTGTGAGTGCTTGGACTTAAAAAAACGAAAATGTTTTGTTTGCTTGGTGCATGCACAACTTTCTTTAAAGCAAATGTTGAAGGTGGACTGACCCATCTGAGCCAGGRCAGCAAACCCACACCTACAGCTGGTGGAAAACTGAGTTGACTGCAGTGAGTGGAAAAACATTTTGRGAAGAGCAGAGGAAATTTCAGCCTTTCTGCAGCCTGACCCAGCTGAGCTGTGCCTGTGCATGCCGTGCTTGGCTCTGCAGGGTTTGGAAGAGCTGAGGGAAGCTTTGCTCAGTCTCCAGAGCCCTGCTGTGCTCACTGAGCACTGAAGTTCTGTTTCACAGAGGGCTCCAGCATCTCCTCGAGTCTTCAAAGATGTGGTGCCGCTCCTGTGTGGATTTAACATCCTCTAGCCCCGGGTCACAGCCACCAAACAACTCCGCTCCCTGTTTAAGCTCTGGTAATCTTGGCTGGATTTCTGGTTTAATTTGGAGACAGCCTGCTGCAGCTCTGCTCACTAAATGCCCTATTAAGCAGTTAATTATTTCTCTATAATACTAGCTTTTATCTTTAATACAACAGTTTTACTGTCTCTGATAATTACACAGTCTCAGATAACTCTCTTAAATCTAATGAGGCATGACAAGCTGTGTTCAACAAGGCACCACACCATTAACTTCTTACCTCTTACTTGTCATCTTATCACACTGAATTACTGTATTTCTAGCCTGAGTGGCTGTGGATACATAACATGTCACTTCTCATTAAGAAAATAATAAAAATCATCCCTGGTGCCCCTGTGCTTGGGCTAGTGGTCATCTGGCTGGCCTGGTGGCCTGAAGATCCTTCCAGCAACTTCTCTGCAGAGTGGTGCTCTTTGTCCCATGAGCTGAAGGTTGGTTTGAACACTTCTGGCCACTTGGTTTGTCCGTGGGTCTGGTGCCTGTGGGAAGGTGAAATGCAGATGGACCTTTGAAGGGCAGCAGTGATGACAGAACTCGTCTGTGCTGATGGAAGTCATTGCTGCAGGGGTATTTTGTGGTGGGATTCAGCTGGAGGAGGGAAAGGAGGGTTTTTTCAGGATGGGGGTAGAACAGAAATTGCTGCAGTGATGCCTGGTATAACTTGGTTGATGCTTTGTACCTCACTGATGGCAGTAATGGTTTGAGTCGTTGGAATGCTGCTTTCCTGTGGGTTTAAGACTGACACCAGAACCCTGCATGGGCCTCATTGAACTCCTGGATTGGGGAGATCACAGATTAGAGAATGGTTTGRSTTGGAARAGACCTTAAAGAYCATCTCATYCCAYCCCAGCCATGGGCAGGGACACCTTCCACYATCCCAGGGTGCTCCAAGCYCCRTCCAWYCYRGCCTTGGACATTTCCAGGGATCCAGGGGCAGCCACAGCTTCTCTGRGCACCCTGTGCCAGGGTTTCACCATCCTCACARTGAACAATTTCTCTCCAATGGATAATCTAAATATATCTCAGTTTAAAAGTTCCTTCTGGTCTTATCACTGTTATCTTTTCAACTGCTGCCCTGTCGCTTTGCCAGGAAAAGCAAWGCTGCCCTTCTGCAGGTTCCTGTCAGGGAAGTCCCTACATCCTTCTTTGCTGGATCAGGAAGGCATTTCCCAAGGGAATGAGCCCAGGCTGTCCCTTGGGAGGAGCCTGAGTGCTCAAATACAGCTGGGGAGAGCAGAGCAGCAACCTGACCTGTGTGTTTGAAAGGAAGAGTCCCTTCACTGTCACAATTTCAAGTTGTCTGGAAGGATTATCAGGGCTGGTAGGGAGAGATGAACCCTCCCTAGCTCTGCTCAGGTCACTTCCCATGGGAATGCTGTTCCTGAGGGATTCCAGGAGCACACAGCCATCTCCCAACACCTCTGCTGTCCACCCTGCTGACCCCTGGGTGCAGGCATTGCCTCTGCTTGGTTTACATCCAGGCCAGAGAATGGATTCATGGAACCACAAAGGCTGGAAAAGCATTTCAGGATCACAAATTCCAGCTGCTAACCCAGCCCTGCCAAGCCCACCCTTAACCCATGTCCCTGAGCACCTTGCACATGTCTCTGGAACACTTCCAGGGATGATGATGCCACCACCACCACCCTGGGGAGGTCCTTTGGCTTTGCTCAGCTTTAGGCTGGCAGAGGATGAGGGTCCTGCAGGATTTTTAGGTCCTTTTGCAGTGAAATTGGGTGCAGGGCTGCACATGTGATGTGACCTTTCTAATTCCCTTTGCAGTGAAACGATTTAAGGAACCAAAGGCAGAGAGGCGTCCCTGGAGGATATGGTGAGATTTTTCATTTGAAACTTGAAAAAAGACTGTGTTTATAATATTATTTCCTCTCGTACTAACAATCTTCTGGGCCCCCTGTGTGTCCTGTATGGCATTTAATAGGTAAATGAAATGTTGTGCTGCTGCTTCCCAGGGAAACCCCCATAAAGTAGCTGGTKCTCCCTAGAAATAAAATTCCCTGCATTGCTCCTCCAGAAAAATCTTGGTTTTTTTCCTCCAGGTTTTATGATACCTCCAAGCAAGCAATAGGTGCCCTCTTCATTCACTTTGCCAATGTTTTTCTGTCTGATCTCACTGAGGAGGACCCTTGCTCTCTGTAAGTACACAAAGCTCTTGAAATCATGCCCTACATGTGTGGCAGGGAGAATGGTGTTGGGAAGGGTCATAAACAGGGGAAATGGATCCATCTGAAGCACTGTGTGGGGATGAACCCTGCTGAGCTTGTTTTTGTGGTCTGGGTTGTCTTTTTTTGCTGGTCCTCTTTGGGGGATTTCTAAACCAATCTTCAGACTTAACATAGAAGTGTCACCTTTACTTCAGTCACTTTGCAGATAAAAATTTATTTCAGAATGAACCTCATCTCATTTTARGAAGCTCTCTAGGCTCCAAAATGCTCCTTAAAACCTCCTAGCCTGTTTCCTTTTTCTGTATTAAAGTGCTGCCCCTTGATAATGTTCCTTTAAGCAGACACAAGTTTGGCTGGGGCTGCACATAACCTCCAAAGTGATGTATTGTTGTTTTTTTAAACAGACACTGTTTTAAAATAAACCCTTTCGTGCTTCTGCTGTGCCCTTTGGGTGTGTTGTTTATTTTTGATGTGTGTTTTATGTTTCCCTGTGCTGCCTGACTTGTCATCCTCAACCAGGCAGCTTCAAATCCTCCAGCCCTGTCCCTGGGCTTTGAGGCTCATACTCTGTGTCCTGCCCAGTGTAAACCACCAAACATTCCATGTTTGCATGGAAAGCTCTGATTTCAGCAGCTGGAAACTGTAAAAAGCTGGTCTGAGCTTTTGGATGTAGAAAAACTTAATGTTAGGCTTTCAAAGTGGATATCAAAAGCAGATTGTTGTTTTCAGCTTCTTTGTTCAGAGGCAGTATTGAGCTCTGGAAAAGGAAATGTTCCCTGCTGTAGCTCTGTGCTTGGCATTTTCTTCTTGGCTGTAGAAATCTGACAGAAAATATTGCAATAATGAAAAACTGCATTAAAAAACCACATTAGATTATGTGACTTTTTTTTTTCCTTTTGGAGTTCATTAAAATGCCAAGCCCTGGGTTAGAGCTTGGACCCTGCAATCCCCAAAAGGTCTCTCCTGGTCTCCTCTGGCACTCTGCCTCATGGCACTTAAACATCCAAAGCTGCAGAGCAAACCCATTGAACCCAAATTTCCTGGCAGGGTTGGTTCAACTCCTGGATCTGCACTGGGATGTGAATTTGAGGTTTTTGGGGACCTCAGGGCTCCTGCTGCTGAGCCAGGGCTCATGACCTCCCCCAAAATCTGCCCTCTCTCTGTGTCTCTGTTTTTGGGAGCTTCTTGGGCAAATGGACTTTTTGCCTCTCCTCCTCCAGTTTGTAGCAGCTGTGGTGTCCAAAAAGCTGCAGTTTTCTTGTGTGAAATTGTAGAACAATTTGAGTCTGTTTCCTCTAAAACTTGTGGTTTTATTCTTTTTAATAAGAAAAAAAGGAGCTGCAAATGGCAAGCCTCATTTTGGGGGGCCAACTTTTAACACGTATCCATTGGGATATGAATAAATGAGCAGTGCCAGAGAGTTGGTGGAGCTTGTCCCTTCTCACCTGAGCAATCTTTTAAATTAAGAAATTGCTGCTAAGGCTTAAGAAAATGCAATAGAAGAAAAAGGAAGTGAATTTGGATTGTTTAGTGGGGTTATTAAAAATCATGGGGTTTTCTTATTGATTTCTATTATGAAATTAAAGATTTGTGAATAAGACTTAAGAAAGCAGCTGAAACCTGAATTTTCCTCTGCTCTTAGCTACCTTATTAATTTCATCCTGGATGCCACGCTGGGGATGCTGCTGATCTGGCTGGGTGTGAAAGTCATCTCGTGGATCGTGCAGCACAAGAAATACACATACCTGGTCTTCGGGGAGTATGGTAGGTGTCACCTGCTCTGCCCAGGAGAGGTTGGGGACAAGAAAACATCCCCAGGAACTGCAGTCTGGGGCTGAAATGTGAGCAGGTTCTCTTATCCCTTCTCCAAGGAACTCATGAGTGTGAGTTAAATTGAGTTAAATACTGTGACACTGGTGCACAGTGAGGGTGAGGAAAGCAGGGTGAGGAAAAGCTGAACATTTCCTTGAGTGTATAACAACCCCCAGAACTTCTATATGGTAAATTAAGGTATTTAGGGCTCTTTTTGGGATTCTTCTGTGTGTATTTCCATTCAGAACATGGAATTGTTGTTGCATTTGTCTTGAGCTGTAGTAGGCATCAGCCAGGCACAGCCTGGCCCCAAAACTGAGTTCTCAAGTCTGGGCTCTCTCTTTTTAAATTCCTACCTTAAAGTGGAGGATTTTCAGGAAAGCTCCTCTCAGGCAGCCCCACTAGAGGGTAGCAGTTCCCTTCCAAAGGAGCAGAGCCAGCTTCTGGAAGAAGCTGCAGGAAAGGGAAAAAATTAATGCTTTGCCTATTTTACATTGTATCTACTGTACAGATTAATTCAGTCGTACTTCAGAAAATACATCTTATTCATAAAAAACTGCAGTCTTGCTTTTAAGAACTGAATCATTAAGTCTATTCTGAAGTTAGTCTGGTTTATTTGTGTTTTTAGTAGCTGGTCTGGTATCTGAGCTGGTGAAACTTGGGCTGAACTGGGGTTGGTTTGGAGATGCTCCTGCCTTGTGAGCTTACCCAGCATGTGGAGATGGGTCATGGCCCAGGAGGAAGGGCATGGGTGGGTTTGTGAGGCAGCAGAAGCAGCTACAGAGGGAGAGTGAATGCCAGCAGATGGGTTGAAAAGGTGTGATTTGGACGGGCCAGCTCTCCTCAAACCTGAGAGTGACTTTAAAGGCTGATCTYGAGCAGGTACAGCATCCTGATAGCAGGAATTTGGTGGGGGGACTGCCTTTATAATAGATCTTAAAGTCAGTCAGATGAGACAGCAGAAAAATCCAGGTATTCTTGGTTCAGGAACTGGAATTTTTTGCCTTTTTAAGCAACAAGGGCTGGAAACTCAACCACAGCCATCCCAGGGCACAGCCCCAGTGTCCCGTGCCACGTCTGCAGTTGAGCAGAAGCAAGGGAACGTGGAAAGTGTTTTGGCAGAGCAGTGGTGAACTTCTGTTGAGCTGTAGCTGGCCCCTCATTAGGGCTGGCTTAGACCACAGAAACAGCTCACTCTCCTTTGAGAAAATCTTGCTTTCATTAGTAACAAGTAAGTTTGTGCTGTTGTTTGAATTTGGTTCTTGGGTTGGGGGTTAAATATCTCATCCATCAAGTGCAGTTTTTGGTGCAGGTTTCTGGCCAGGGTGACCCCAGTGGAAAATTCAGGTGGGAGCCAAGTGAGATGTCCAAGGCAGGGCTGGGGGAGGAAAACATTCCCGTCCTCATTTCGGGTGTTAGCTTCCAAAACAGTTGGGAAGGCGCTTGTAAACTTTGTACAGTTTGGTGCAGGCTCCAGGAATATGATTCATTTTCTGGGCTAATTGCTCTAGCAGACTTGTGCTTCTCAGGAGAATTGAGGGAAGCAACATAAGTGCTGCAGAGGAGGAAAGGCAGAAAACCAGGGAAGCACCAAATCCATGCTGCAATCAGCAGTCAGTGCCACTGCTCCAACCATCAGAACAGAATGGTTTTGTCTATTCGAGCCAGTACCCATCTTTCTGTATCAATTTAGGGGAAGAAATAAAAAAAATATCTTTCGCAGTGTCCTTCCAGGTCATGGTTGCATCCCTGCAACTGATGCAAAGCCCTGCAGCTCTTCTCTGGTTTGTGCTGCAGCAATTTCTGCTGCTCTGTGGTTGCTTCTCCTGCCTGCACAGCCCTGTCTGCCTCCCCCTGTGCTCCAATAGCTGCATTAGTGGAGAAGAAAAGTGGAGGGGAGGGAAAGCACTTAAATCTCTGCTGCTATTTTAAGCATSCAGCTGCCCAGAATTGTTTAGAAAAATCAATTACTTCCATATTTCCAAAAACCCAGGAACAGGCATTCTGAGATCAGCCTCTCTTGTGCCTGAGCTCGTGGCCAAACGCTGCTGCAGCCAGGAATGACCTGTTTTACAGCTAGTGGGGAATCAAAGGCTCCTGTTTGCTTGTGTTCCTCCATCCTTGCCCATCAGCTCTTGATTACTCTCTGAATTGGCTCTAAGGACAGGAAACTGCATTTTGGAAGGTGCTGTCTCTTGTAAGGATGTCTGGGCCCTGAGATCAGAGTTTGAGGAAGTGTGTTCATGGCACAGTGAGCTTTGGGGAGTGATGGTTGCCTTACACCTGCTCAAAGCTTACAAACTCCTGCCCCTGGAGGTGTTGAAGGCCAGCTTGGATGTGACCCTAAAAACCTCAAGGCATCCCTGCCCAGGGCAGGGGATTGGAATTAGGTGATTTTTATAGGGTCCCTTCCAGCCCAAACCATTCYATGGTRATTCTGTGAAATTCCACAAATGCACCACTGCTGCAGCAGATCATGGCTGTAGGTGCTGTCATCGTAGGGAACCAATGCAGGGAGGACCAAAGCAGAGTTTGAGCTTCAAAATATGTGGGAGATGTGGAAATGTGGGGACCCAAGGTCTTGGAGGTGCTGTTGGKGCTGTACAGACTGGGCAGGGGAGGTGCTGGCTCCAGTCAGAGTGTGCTGATCAAACCTGCTTGAATTTTGTGCCTCATCTCCAAACTGGTCCAGCTCTCTTCTCCCTCCCTCCCCATGGCAATGAGCAGCTTCTTAGAGAAAACCTCTGGGTGGGTGCAGTGTCCTGACATTTTAATTGTGKTTAATAATTCTCCAGGATTACTCCAATATTTCTTTTAACTAAGCAAATACTGTGAATTTTCATTAAGAGAGATTTTCTGCAATGTGCAAGTAAATTTTTTTTAGGGGAGGAAAAGTGTTCTGACTGGAAAATGTCCCTCTGGATGCCCATCTGGGGCCTGGCTTGTGTGTGACTGTAGCTGTGGTCACTGGTGATCTAAGCCCAAGTGCTTTGTGCTCGTTCAGTGTCTGGAAATGGAAAAGCATCTTGCTTGGAGGCCTTCAAAGTCTGTTTAGTGGCCTGTTGAACTCTGCTGGTCGAATTTAGATTTAATTGAACATGCTCTGTGCCAGCTGCTGAGTTTAACTGAGGACCTGTGTAGGCTGCTCTTGGCCCCGTGGTGATGCTGTACAAAATTTCCATAACAAATATTCCCACGTCCCAGAGCTGGCTGCTAATGATTGAGGAGGAAATACTGCTGGAAAGAGCTCTGACCTGAGGAATTGTCCTGTCCTCAGCCTGCTGGGCCTTTCCACCCCCAGGAGCAGGGGGAAAAAATAAGGAGAGGACTGAGAATCCTGCTCAGGGACCAAGTGGGTGGTTGGGTCTCTTGCTCTGAACAGGGGTACAAACCTGAGCCTCCTGGAACTCAGTGACAGCAGAATTGTTTCTAGGAATGGGAATTCCTATAAACTCCTATTCCACTGCCATAGGAACACCCCCAGGGTCCAAAGACACAGAGCAGTGGTGTGACACTGCACACTGGGGACAGATTCCAGCTGCTCTCACTTTTTCCCAGTTCAGCAGTGCAACAGGCTGTCCAGAGGACTTGGAAGTGCCCCATCCCTGGAAGTGTTCAAGGCCAGGTTGGATGGGTTTTGAACAGCCTGGTCTAGTGGGAGATGTCCCTGCCCATGGGGTCCCTTAAAACCCACACCATTCTGTGATTCAGTGACTTTAGTTCAGATGCAGAGAGGGTCTGGGGTGCCCACTGGGCACATCTGCTGCTGTGATTCATCACATTCCCATATCTGAAAGCCTGGTTTTGTCCTCCAGGTAAGCACTTCATGCAGTTCAGAGTTTACTGCTCTTTCCTACCCTCCTCTATACTTGGCACTGATAATTAATCCCTTGGTTTTGGAGGTGCCATTTGAGAATCTCTTAAAAAGTTTTTTTTTAACCTCTTTTACCCCCACCTTGTCACCCAGTACAACTTCCAATGCTTTCAAATATTTGCCTTYCCTCAGACCCCCTGAACCCCCCACTTTGGCTGTGGTTGAGCTTTTTTCCTACCTGCTCTTCGCACACACAGTCCCCAGAAATCTGTAAATAAAACTGTCTGGCAGGAACACGGGGGCTGTGCTGACAGCTCGGTGCATTTGGCAGCCTGGAATTAAAACTAATCTTAAAACTAATCCTGCTGTGTGGTAACAGCTCAGAAACCTCAAGCACTGCTCTGGCTCTCCTGCACTTGGGCTCCCAAGCACAAGTGGAACATGAGACACGTTTGTGTGATGGTGCCACGGGCTCCAGTGGTCCTTGGGCTGCTCCAAAGATGTTTTTCCAGTGATGGGGTGTCTCAGAAATGCTGCAGGAGGAAGCAGTCAAAATTCAGAGTGTGCATCCTTCAGAGTGAAGGAGGATTTGAATTTTTGTGAGGATGGGAGGTGGCTGTAAAAAAGGTTTTAGCAAAGGGTGTTCAGTAAAAGGAGAGGCTGGTGATAGACTCCATGTGTAAAGCTGAGATGTCCTGGGTTAACTCCCAACTCGAACCAGGGACAAGAAACTGGAAAAGTTCAAAGGGAGTATGATACATTAAATTTCCTAACAGATGTGGTGTGGATGCTGCAAATATCCTTTGGACCAGTTCCCCACTTTGCTATGTTCACAACTTTCCTTTCCCTGTAGGAAAAAGGAGGACATCAATTTTATTTTAATTTTTTTTTAGCCTCCAGGCAGCAAATTAGTTTTTRCTGGCTGGCAGTATGGTGTAGCAGAAAGTCTTGTGGGCAYTCTTTGAGATTTATGTAATAAAAAYAYTYCYTGTAAGAAGAATCCTTTCCCATCTGTGGAGCAGGGCACCTCTGGACAGTACTTGATCCATTAAAGACATCAGGCTGAATCTGAGGATTTCAGATTTCAGTAGGAAATCTGACCAGCTTTCTGTAGGAAAACAGCTCTTACATGAGTTCAGCTCATCTTCCAGCATTTCCTTGCTGTGGAAGGAGGAGATGGGGCAAATCTGCCTGGTGGGCTTGTCCAGGGACCACACCAAAGGTTTCCCTGATGAGATGCCAGAAAATGCAGACTTGGATATTCCTGCTTTTAGTYAGAATTAGGTGAATTGAATCCAGCCTAAATGATTCTGATTCTAGAAACAGATTGCAAAACAGTGACAATTTGAGCTTCTTGATGTGATAGAGCAGATGGCCAAACCTGTTCTCTGTGTAGCTCTGTGGGTCTTTTCCATGTCCTTGCAGTGTCTACCCTGGACATGTCAGAAGTGCTGATGTCCCTCTTAACTGTGGAGAAAATTCACAGCATCTTCTGCAGGTGATGCAGAAAAGACCAGAGTGAGAAACTGGGATATTTGAAGCTCTGGATGGCTGGATGTTTCTTTGACAAGATGGGATATGGTGGTGAGGGCTGTGGATCTGTGGTGTAAGCCTGACTGGGGAGGCTGCTCCTGGACAAGTGGGGCTCACCCRGAGGGATTTTACAGTTTCACCATGAAAACTCTTCTTTAGCAAAGGGAAAAAAGATTTTCTTTCTCTGAAGGAAACCTCGAGAAAATGTGTGAACAATTTGATGGCTTTCTTACAAGCTGAAAATGGAAGTTTTTGGGGTGCAAGTCTGTTAACTTTGAGTACACTGGCGAGTCCATAGCTAGGGGGGGTTGAAGCAGGCTGTCTGTCCTGGTGTCTGTGTGTCAGCCTGGTGAGCCAAAACCTAACTCAGGCTGTCCATTGCACAGAGTGAAGAACCACAGCCTGCTGGTGTGACCTGTCCCCAAAAGGGTGGAGGGGGCAGGTGTTTGGGAGGGATCTCMAACTTGCTGGTGCTTTTTGGGCAGGCTGAGATGACAGAGGGAAATGCTGTCACGGAAAAACCGATTCACAAACGGCATTGTGGCTCTCAGCCCTGTCCCTCCGTGGGGGACAGAGCACAGCTGACAACACAGAGAGAAAGGGAAAGAGTTCAAATGCAGGAGGGACACAACAGATGTGTTTGTTTTCCCGTTTTGTTTGTGCTCTGAGCTCTGATGGATGGTGGTAATGTGGGGGTTTGTGGGAGAATTGGTTGGTTTTAGGGTAAGGGGTAAAAGGGTTTGCTAAACCTAACATGTGCCAAAGGTAGCCAGGCATCCTGATCTATTAGGAGAGGCTTTCAGGAGGATCAAAACCTCTCTGACACCAGCCTGTGACACTGCTCCMATCTCCCCACAGACCACCCATTAAGCTGTTGCCTTCCAGGGAGCGGAGATTCCGCTCTCCAAAATCCTCCACGGGCTCTGCTGTGTGTGCTTGTGCATAACCTTCCTGCTCCCTCTTCCTGCCCTCCCTCTGTGCTGTTCCTGCTGCTTTGGCTCTCTCTGTTTGTTCTCCTCATCCCTGCACCCTTGACCTCCCAATCCTTCCTTCTCCCCTCCTTTGCTTCCTTTTTAATGAAGCCTTGAGCAATTAAGAATTTGGGGCACAAGGGGATCCTGCTTGGACACTATCAGATAATGTAGATGTCTCCACATCTGGCTGTAGCTTTGCAGATGTTCTGGGATGTTGATGACAAATGACAGAATAATGACAARTGGACATGCAGACCTGCTTTGTACTTGTTGGGAAGCAGATCCTCACGGAGCTGGGGCTYGGTTGGACACCAGCTCTTGCTGAATCCCAGTACGTGCTGCTGGTTTTTGTGGCTGGAGGTTTGTGCTGGTGGGGATAAATGTGCATTTGCAAACTGCTGGTGTTGTCTCCCCCTGCCACATCTTGACAGGATTGTGCTGAAAAATGGACAAAAGTGGGGCAGAGCTCCCAGCCTGCTGCCATCTGACCACGTCAAACACTCTCAGTGCCAACTGAGCAGGTTCCCTTGCACGGMTGGAATTCCAAATTCCGGCYYGATTATGCTGGGAACAAGTGTAGCYAGGGGTTATCTTTGTTTTTGAGTGGTAAGAGGAAATGCTGCAGCTATCCCAGGCCTGATACAGTGGCTCAGTTTTGCAGATCTGAGATGTTCTGGTGAGTCAGGGGAGGTGATAACAAGCTGGCAGAGGGCTGAAGGAAGCTCATGTAATAGATACAGAACCATTATTGTTGTTAACAATATAAGTATGCTTTTCCTTATTGCTTGGTGAGTACCCCTTTGGAAGCATTTATATTTAATTAGCATTGATTTTTTTTGAGTGAATTACTTTAAAACCTGGGGCGATGGAGCCCCTGTCTCTTGTTCAGACAGTATCACATAACCAGCCCTTCACTTCATCAGCACAATAAAATAATACTGTTCTGGGCTGAGAAATAATGCTGCTTGTAGTGAAATTGGTGACTTGAAAATTTCAAACTGTGTGGCTTAACAGAGTGAAAATTGCTGGTGATATCTTTAAAAATTTATTTGCATTTACTTTATTTTATAGAGGAGTGTGCAGGTTCTGACTGGTCCTTGTAGAGAGGAGGGTCAGTGTTAAGCATGAGACTGCTTTTCTGCAAGGCTGTCTCCTCCTGTCCTCTAATCCAGGTTTAAAATGCTGTTTTTCCAGGTGACCCTCCACAAGCTGCTGCCTGGATTGGCCAGTGTATCCTCTACTTGCTGATAATGGTTTTTGAGAAGACTGTGATTAGCCTTGTCCTGCTKATCCCTGGCTGGACAAAGGTAAGCAGTATTTTTCTAGTTGTAGCTGTTGTGATTTGTTTTTTGTCAGCTTTGCCTGATTCATGGTTCCCATTATTGAAGGCCTTTAATCCTCACACTTGTTGACATCACTCTGTAATCATTAGCTATTATTAAAACTTCAGGAAACATGACTTTCATAATGGTTTGGCTTTTGGTGCATTTTGTTGCTAGTCAAAAGCTAGTGGAATAAAATGATGCTTTAATTTTATTTCTCATTCTTGGAAGGCTAAAATGGGCTGGGCTGGCAGCTGAGCTCCTTCAGTYCTGCCAGAGGATTTCTATTTTATTCTGTCAAATCAGTCCATGTTGGTGTTTTGTGATCCCATACCTAAACCAGGCGACTTATAGAGATTAATTTGAAAAGAACTATCTAAGTAGCACATTGTCTTTTCCTGCTCAGCTGCTTCTGCATGGTTTCCTGATGCAATATTAATTGTGTTGATCAGAAGTTTATCTTAAAAAAAATAAAAATAATTCTCTGTGGGGCTTTTAGCTGGTGGCAGGTGGGTGTGATGGGTATAAAACCCAATTCAGGGAGTCAATGGTAACTCCARTTTGGAGTGCACTTTCCTTAGACTCTAAGGTGTCAGGCACTAAGTGTAATTTGATTGAGGCATTATCTGCAGCAATCTGGAAGCATTTATCTGTTCAAGGRTTGTCCTTCAAACCCAGTAGCCCACAGTGCTCACATTTGGGTGTGAACTCTTAGCAACACAAATCCAGATCCAGAGATGCTGCTGGATTCCTCTCTGTCATTACTGCTCATGGCTGGTGTCCTTGTTCTGCAGATGAGCTCCGGGGAGCCAAGGGAAGTCCCACCAGTTGTTTTCATGAAGAGTTACACTGAAAGACTCTGAGTACATGTTTCTGTGTAAAATCACGTGTTTGGCAGCTGGGCTGAGGGAATATCCTGTGTCATCTTTCTGAGAGCTGGGTTGAAGCAAAGGCTGCAGAGCTCTGGCTGCTCATGGAAGAGGATAACCACTTTAGTCAAAGGTCTTGCAACAGAGCTGTTCAGATACTGCTTCTAAATGTTTGTTTTCTCCTCTGCAGCTTCAGCAGATCCTCCTGGGTTACATCCCAAGCCCCCAGCTGGAGCTTGTCCTGGTGATGTTTGTTGTGCCTTTCATAGTCAATGTAAGTGGTGCCTCTTGGGCTGATTTGGAAATCGTTTTGCATCCTCGTGGAAGCATGCACAGGGACTGGTTGGGGACAGCCCTGAAGTGGCTGGGATGGGGGAGGAGAATGGAAATAAATCTGTCACAAATCTGTTGCTGCCATGGACTCTGGTCCCAGTTCCCATACCTTTCTCTGAGCTGCTCGAGGTGGGGTTGACTCTTCACCTCTTGGACTAAAGCTGGGTCTTGTTAGCTGAGGGCTATCCCAGCAGCAAGCTGTGGGCATAAGGATGCCCAAAAACCCCTTAAGGTTGTATAGGATGGCTGGTAACTTTGGCAACCTGCTCATCTAGTTATTTGGCTTCACTTCAGATTGTGTTACAGCAAGATAAGGGGCACAGGTTTATCCAGAACTCTTGTTCTTCTCAAAATTAGTTCAACAAAACCTCCTGAAAGCTCAGCACTTTCCTGATTCCCCTGGGTGATCCTTGACCTGCTGTTCAGTCCCTAAGATGGGAAATGAGAATAAGGTGTTGGCACTCAGATGCTCCCTGGACAAGCAGGAAGGTGAGCTCACTTTCAGCTTATCCCATGCACATTTCAGTGGATGCAGCACTGGCAAAGTAGGATTGACCTGCTTCTCTCCTCAACACCAGGCTGCATCTCCCCATTAGGAAACAAATTCTGGTCCTCAGAGAACTGAGCAGGGACTGTTTCAGGCAGCTGAGCCTTGGATGGAGCTTGGTTCAATGGTTATTTTCTGGTGGAAATT